AGGATACTTGCAACGTCTTTTCGATAAGAGGGGCTTGTGCAGGTAGAATTCTTCCGATTCTGGGACATGTCTGACGTCCTCCGTCCTGTCCCTGGTATGCTTGCCTCTGGATCGCTCGTGCGCCTCTCCTCCTGCGCCGTCGTCACGGTCCTGCGCGCTGAGCTGCTGCCGGGTGGCTCTGTCATCCTCGCAGACCCGCACGGCGCCGGGAATCTCCGCGTGCGACCGAACGGCACCATCGACACGCAGGGCGGCCGCGGTGGCTGGGCACGCTTCTGGGTCGACCGCGAGCCGGACGGCGACGAGAACTCGATCCGGCTGCTGAACGTCGGCCACCATGAGCAACGCGGCAACGACGTCTTCCTAGCGGCGTCCATCGTCCCTGCAGATCAGTGCCCCGCGGCGAGCGCTCCGGTCCCGGACGCGGCGAGCGCTCCGGTCCCGGAGCCGCCCGCGGTGCTGCTCTCCGACGAGGAGAAGGCAGCGTTCGTGCGGCATGGGTACCTCGTGCTGCGCGGCGTGGTTGGGCGCGAGCTGGTCGACGCGGCGCTGCGCGCCATCAACAACCAGCTCGGACAGGCACAGTGCGTAGTATGAGTCACTCCCGCGCCACTACACAACACCACGCACCGACTCTCCCTCCCTCACTCGTGTCCAATACCGTCGGAACGGAGAGGATGAAAACCGTCGGAACGGAGAGGATGAAACGCCACCGCAAGGATGTGCTGCCACAGGGCAGCGCCGCATGGGAGCCGGACGAGGACGGAAAGGAGAAGCTTGCGGGCGAGGTCGGGTCGAAGCGATCGTCGGCGATCCTCAACTTGCTTCACGCGAGCCCCGCGCGCGGCATCGCTGAGCAGGCGCGACCTCCTCTCGCCACTCCCTCTCCCGCGCCCTTAATCCTTCGCCCTTGTCTCACACTCCGCCGCCAGCGCCGCCGCCGCCCTCACCGCCGCCGCCTCACACTCCACCGCCCTCACCGCCGCCGCCTCACACTCCACCGCCCTCACCGCCGCCGTCTCACACTCCACCGCCCTCACCGCCGCCGTCTCACACTCCACCGCCCTCACCATCGCCGCCTCGCCTGACGCACGCTCCCCGTCTCACGCACGCCCCCCGCCGCCGGCCGCAGCTCCTCGACGGCCAGCTCAGCCAGCAGGTGGGCGCCCCTAGCCCCCCCAGCGAAGGCAGGGGGCCACACATTCACCTCACCCGAGCCCGCGCCCGAAGGTGGGCGGCCAGATCGCGCTGCGCTTCCCGCTGCCCGAAGACAAGATTGGCCGGTGCGGGCTCCTCTTGCCCGACTCCTCCTGCAGTCCGTCAGCCAGTCGTACACACCGCCTAGCATGTGGGAGATACGGGGAGATACGGGGAGATACGGGGAGATACGGGGAGATAGCCTAGCATGTGGGAGGACGGGACGCCGCGCACGGCCGACACGAGGCACACTCATCGGCCGTATCACTGTGTCCGGACTGCTGGCACGTCCACGACACGTCCATGACACGCCTAGGCCGCCGAAGGGCATGACGCGTCCACGACACGTCCATGACACGCCTAGGCCGCCGAAGGGCAACGACCAGTGGCATATTGACGGGATGAAGAAGAACGGCCACATGTCGCCCTTTCAGCTGCTGCTCGGCGTCGCGCTCTCCTCGCAGGCGTGTGTGTGTGTGTGTGTGTGTGTGTGTGTGTGTGTGTGTGTGTGTGTGTGTGTGTGTGTGTGTGTGTGTGTGTGTGTGTGTGTGTGTGTGTGTGTGTGTGTGTGTGTGTGTGTGTGTGTGTATGTGTGTGTGTGTGTGTGTGTGTGTGTGTGTGTGTGTGTGTGTGTGATCTTGCGTCGCGCCACGACATGCTGCAACACGCAACACCGGAGCGGGGCGGTCACTCACACACGCGAGTCGCATCTCCAAGTCCAAGCGTGTGTCACACCCACACCCAGCCCCCCGCCTCCCTCCTGTGGGCCCGCCTTCTCCTGTCGCCCCCCCCCCCCCCCCACCCCACCCCACCCGTCGCCCCCTCCTCCTCCCAGAGAGACGACGACTGCGGCAACCTGTGCGTCTGGCCGACGCAGCACGCCGCCGTCGCCGAGGCGGTGCAGCGGGCACAGGCGGCGCCGCCGGGCGCCTCCTCTCCCGAAGACGAGTGGCGCGGGCAGCGGCCCACGCTTCCGGCGGAGGGGGCGACGCAGGTGGCGGTTTGCTTTGGGGCCGGCAAACTCCTCCCACGGGACACGCTCCCGCCACGCGCGTCCCCCCCCCCCCCCCCCCCTCAGGTGCGACTCGAGCCTGGCGATGTTGTGCTCGCGCACCAGAAGCTGCCGCACAGTGTCGGGCTCAACCGTTCGCCGCACATCCGGTACCAGGTCTACTTTCGGCTGAGCAGCCGCGAGTACAAGCCCGCAAAGGCGGCGGAGCGGGGCCTATGGGACAACTGGCGAGTGGGTGCAGAGTAGTCGAGAATAGGCTGGGCCGCTCGTGTTGTGTGTGGGTTCCGTTGGGGTGGGGCGTGCGCGGGGGTGACGCGCTGAGAGACCGGCGACGACGGACGGCGTGCCGCAGTGGCGGCAGGGCGGTGCAAAAGAGTAGAGATTTACTTTCAAAAGGCTTTACCGTAATTTGCAGTACTGGGCTGGGTGTTTCTAGGCATTGTGGGGTTGGCACTCCCATCGACCCTCATGACCTCCTGCGGTCTCTGAGATGGACACCAGTGGGTGTGGGACCACAGCCAGGATACACTCGAAGGCTGGGTAAGCAGTAGAGGTCGATACTCGACGCGTCCCACATGGTCTGTGTCGCTGTCGGCACGCTGTCGACAGGACGTCGAGCGACACCGGTGGCAGTGCCACCCAGGAGTGGTCGGGCGGTCTCCCGTCATGAGAGAGCCACCATGTGATCCGTATGATGGTTCCTGACAACCGCCTCAATCACTTTTCGTCACAGTTCCCGCTCTGAGAGGAGCTGCAGGTCAGTTCGACAGCTGGAGCTGTGTCGCCGGCGTGCGGCGGCCTGCCTCCAGAGGTGCCTCTGAGGTGGACTTTTTTGGTCACCGTGAGAGAACGCGTTCGAATTTTTACTCCGGAACTTCAACTGAGCACGCGCACCGGCCAGGGCTACAATAGTGCCAGTGAGGCGGAGGCGCGAGTCGGAAGGCCGCGACCGTCCAGTGCCCCTTCGTTTTCTTCCAATCGCTGTTCTCGAAATAAATAAAAACGGACACCTCTCTACTGTGAGATGGGTAAAAAGGAACAGGCCCCCGCCCTTGCGATCTTTGTGCAGGGTTCTTTGTGGGTGTGGTCGGCGACTAGCCGGGGTCGTCCTCCCGATGGGGGACTAGCACTAGCCGTCTTCCACATGGTCCCTCGGGTCCCTGCTGCTCCTAATCTCTTCGTACATCCTCCTGCTGATCTCCGCAAAGTCCTGCTCCCTCCCTCGTCTCGCCCTGCGCGTCTGCTCCGCCTCACCGTCTTCTGCCCTGCGTCGTCTGGCGACGGGTCCTCCATAGTCGGTCGAAGTCGCCGCCCTCCTCGTGCCTCTTCCCAACGTTTCCTCGGCGGCCGATGCCGTCTGCTCCGGCTCCCCAGTCCCCGGGTCTGCCCTGCTCTCGTCTGCGCTAGTTTCTGCTTCGTCCTCACCGGCGTCTCTCCTCTTCCCTCTCCCCTTCTTGTATGCTTTGCACATCGCGTCGATTCCTGTTCGCGTGAGCACCAGCCTGAAGCCCGCCCAGCATCTGAACCGCTCCCTAAGTCGAAGGAGCATCATCAGTCTCACCCACTTCGCTCTCTGCCCACCGTCTCCGCTCCCTCCCGCTTGAGCCGCCGTCGCGGCCCTCGTTCGTCCCACTGGCTGTTGGCCTGTTCCCACGTTACCTCCATTATCCCTCCTCCTCCGCGACTCCCTCAAGGCTGGCCGGGCCTCCTTCCACCCAGCGAAGAGCTTCCTCAGCCACTCGATGTGTTCCTCTCTCTTCATTATGCGCGCCGTAGC